CTCTGCAACCACTGAACCAATTTCAACCAAATTTGGCACAAAGCATCTATGGGTAAAGGGGAACAAAAATTGTGAATTTCATGATCCCTGTCCCCCTGGGGCCTGAGGGGTGGGGCAAAAACCACAAAAATTAATGCAATCTTTTATAATCTTCTTCTTTACTCCTGGACATCAAGCAGTCAAACTGTTTGCATGATTGTAATTAGCATTGTGTCTTCTACCAAAATTGTGAAATTCATGGCCCTGGAGTCAGGGGTTCTAGTGCTAGGGCGGGGCTAAATAAGTATATAGTGAAAATGCATTATTTCTTTGAAAATCTTCTTCTCTGCTCCTTGGTATTAAATAAACTAACTAAGAACATAGTTATGATTAGCAAGAGTGCCTCTACCAACATTGTGAATTTTATGGCCCTAGGATCAGGGGTTCTGGTGTTAGGGTGGGGCTCTATTGATTATATATAGTGAAAATACATGATCTCTTTGAAAATCTTCTTCTTTGCCCCTGGGTATTAAATAAACTAACTAAGTGCATAGTTATGATAAGCAAGAGTGCCTCAACCAAAATTGTGAATTTCATGGTTCCAGGGTCAAGGGTTCTTGGGTTTTTGGGGGAGAAGGGGGGGGCTCTATTGATTATATAGTGAAAATACATGAATTCTTTGAAAATCTTCTTCTCTGCTCCAAGGTATAAAATAAACTAATTAAGTGCATAGTTATGATAAGCAAGAGTGCCTCAACCAAAATTGTGAATTTTATGGTCCCAGGGTCAGGGGTTCTGGTGTTAGGGTGGGGCTCTATTGATTATATAGTGAAAATACATGAATTCTTTGAAAATCTTCTTCTCTGCTCCTAGGTATTAAATAAACTAACTAAGTGCATAGTTATGATGAGCAAGAGTGCCTCAACCAAAATTGTGAATTTTATGGCCCCAGGGTCAAGGGTTCTGATGTTAGGGCGGGGCTCTATAGATTATATAGTAAAAATACATGAATTCTTTGAAAATCTTCTCTGCTCCTAGGTATTAATTAAACAAACTAAGTGCATAGTTATGATGAGCAAGAGTGCTTTTACTAAAATTGTGAATTTTATGGTCCCAGGGTCAGGGGTTATGGTGTTAGGACGGGGTTCTATTGATTATACATGTATAGTGAAAATACATTAAATCTTTGAAAATTTTCTTCTCTGTCTCTGGGTATGAAGCAGATGAACTACCTATATAGTTATGATTAGCAAGGGCCCTAATCTTGCAGAGTTGTGAATTTCAAGGCCCCAGGGTCAGGGGTATGGGGGGGCTTTACTTATATACTGAAAATGAATTAATTGTTTGAAATCTGCTGCTTTGTATTTATAAAACATTTATTTATTTTTTGATAGGCTATTTTAGGGTGCCTCTTTAAAATTTGTGCAATGTGTGGACCTAGGGTCAGGGGTTTATGTCACAGTGTTAGGGGCACTACTGATTATTGCTGAATATTACTGATTAGTTGGAATGCATTTTTGTTCCCCTACCCTGTGTATGGGTATTCAGTAACCAAGCTAAGCAACTGCTAAGTGTATTTTTATGATGATCAATGGTGCCTCTTTCAAAATTGTGAATGCCATATAGCATCTGGCTTAAAACATGAATCAAATTCAATAATTGGAAAGTTGTTGCATAATGCTCATGTGACCTATAAGGCCCGTGGGCCTCTTGTTTACTATACTAATATATTTTTCTAAAATGTATATATATAAAGCCTATAGATTTACATTCGCTGACACGGTCATGGTTTCGATCTTAAAACTTAAAAAATGCAATTTATCATTGAGTCAATGCTGACTGACTCACATACAAATTGTTAGTCCATTACTTATACACTGAATTGACGACGGATTTCCCATTATTTCCAGATCATTACAAGGAGCACACATCGGATGAATTGCTCACTCCTCCATGGCACCTTATCCCGCTTATGTTTTTGAGGTCTGTGATGGCTCTTCTCCTGTTTTGTATTGCTTTATCTACTTTTGATTTTGAATAAGGTTTGTTATCTCCAAATGTTTCATTTAATGTGTTATTGTTACAATGATGAATATATTCTGCAGACCCGGTTTAACGACAGAATGTGTTCTGTGTGTTGACAATATATAACACAGAAAAAAGAAAATAGGTGATTCTAAAATTCTAAATCAGTACACACTAGTTTGGAATTGAATCTATAAATATGAAGTGAAAAAAGACGTCGAAATAATTAGTTTAGTGTCGTCTTTGTGTGTATTATTTATTAAATTGACGGCATGCATAACCTAAAAGATGTTTTTATTATTATTATTTTGGTTGTTATTTTGAATGCAAATACTTTCATATTCTTCAAAACATTTCAGAGAGACTCTCATTCTGCAGTTTTTGCTACATTACAACATATATTGACATCCATAGACGTCTCTCTATGTCAGATAGATCAACTTAAAGACATTTTTTTTATAAACAAAACAAGTGATTACCAATATGTCTATTTTTGGGACACTTGTTCATATACTGGATATCATGAAATGGCATTCTAAAGAGAAAAAGGGAATCAGGTAGAGGGCATGTATTGCTTTTACAATACTCTCAGAATGCTTGTTTCAGAGGTGGTTGAACGAAAAGGTCGAACGTTGTTAGCATGGACTCTTGATAATTTTGTTAAGTTATACACAACCTTTTATGTAATTAGTTTAAATTATGCTATTCTGGTTAAGAAGAAAAGAAGTAACATGTACATTTAGCATTCCAGACAGAACATTTTAAATATGCTTTGAAACTATGTTATTCTAATAAAAATACTGTCTAGAAGTGTCTACATTTTTGCTATACGTATCTTTCTCTTCTTTAAGTTCTCAATCTAATGCCTTTCAAGACCGTAGATTGAAGTATTTAACATTTTAGCTGTAGAACAGGTATCTTTATGCATGAAAAAAAAACATACACACCATATGGTGTCACTGAATACCCGCTTTTCAATATGGCCTACCTTCTGACATGTATGTCACAACATTAAAGCAGGGATTGGAGTCAGAGAAATATCCGATTAACCCAATTTCATAGACACTAATGCTATGAATGACTTAAGATTAATAGTGCATATCATGTAAATATGAATATGAAAGAAATACAAAATTGGAATTAATACACTTGTGTTGTTTGAATAGTAAGATAGACATGGTTCGGTACCTTTACTTGTATGACTGACAATGATGTACATAATGCAATACCCACCTAAAAAAATTGATCTGAAAAAGTTCCCATTAAAGAAAGGCTTCAATAATCAAAGCGCATGGTTGTAAGATAGATATGTGTCGGTACTTTGTAAGCCCTTTTTCTCATTGTCAAAATGGCGAAATAGTATCTCTTTTATGGTATTTTCAAGGTACATGTAACACATCTTAGTAACAAACGAGAGCAAGAACATACCATATTTATATGGAATGTAAAAACAATTATAAGCGATTTTTTCTACCAAAAGGTTGAATGTAGTTGTAAACATTATTTTGATCAAAAAAATTGTTTCAAATAATGACTTTTCAAAGTCTTTCAAGAAATACAAACATGAACTAGATGAGATCTCGTTGCAAACAACAAGTAGGTCTTCAATCTGACTAATAGAATCATTTGATTGATAAAAGAAGAAATTAAAACTATTAATGAGAAAATAGACATGTGTATTCTTTACAATATGTTTAGATACATGCGTAAACGAAATAAATATCTCTATTTGAAATAATCTTCAAGGGCGGAATTTATAAAACTTCTTATTTTATTCTTAAGTTTAAAAAATCAATTAAGCTATGTATTTTTTGCTTACAACCATAAGTTTTACTTAAATTGGTAGAAACACTTTAGTGTAATTCATAAACATACGTAGTGTTTAAGTATTGACTTAGAGTTAAGTGTCCTCAGGAGGTGTCATAAGTAGATAAGAAATATTTAAGTTTTCTTTAACAATAAAAAAACAATAGTGAACAGAAAATTTTTAAATCTTTTAATTTAGAAATCATTTTATAGCATCTAACTAGAAACTCTTTTTGACTTTGAGATATTTATCAACTGGTAAAATACAGATGTGCAATGTTGATGACATAGCTGTAGATTTTAGTTATGATGTAATAGGCATAGAAATAAATACAATGTACCTCCATCACAAAAGAGTGCACTTTTTGTGCGGGAATTACCATGCGTTGCTATGGTGACTTAAATCAAGTGCTCTAATTTTTCTCAGAATTAAACTTAGTTAAGAATTACACTTAGAAGTTTTTTGAATATGAGTTAAGATTGTTTTTTCTTAGTTAAGAATTTATTTCAGTTTCTTTATGAATCTCAGCCCAGTGACAGGATTAATGAAACTTCTTAATATATATATTTTCAGTTAAAAAAAATCACTCAAGCTATGTATTTTACTTAACCCTAAGTTTTACCTAAATGAAATAGAAATACTGTACTGAAAATTAAATTCTAAAATATTTGTATTAAAATTCAGTAAAGATAACTCTTACAGCATTTCGTTATAAAAATACGTGGGCTCTGTATCTTTAGACAGTCAACAAAACAAGAGAAAGTCTTTGTATATAAGAAACATGTTATAATTTATTGCATAAAAGTACATAAAACAAACGCGATATTTGGAACCTCCGGGATACTTTGGGAAGGTGTAAAAATTGAAGGTGCACCACTCTGAAAGCGAAGGTGCAACGATATGGAAATGAAGGGGCGGTAGCAGACGTTCCTAACGTAAACAAATATATGTCAGGAGTATATATAGGGAAAATCTGGTAACTGGAGAAGGTGCACACTATTACAATTAAATAGTCACCTTGTGTATTCTGGCTGGGTTGTTGACTAACACCTTCAGTAATTTAAACTGAATACTAAACTACAAAACAAACACTAACACTTTCAACGGGCCTCTCTGTTTATAAACACAGAAGAGTTACGTCATTATCCAATCAGCGATCGTCTAACAAACAAGGTAGCACGTGCGAAACTTCAAGCCGAAGTAATCAAACTCGGAAGGAAATTGAAGCACATTATGGCTGTAAATATGTATTATGGATAAAATATCGCTTAAGGTGGATGGTAAACACCACAGGTAATCACTACTGTGAGTAATGACACATATCTAATACAACATGGGTCGAGAACAACATCCCAAACGAATGTAAATAACACATTCAGTCCTTGTAAAACGGCATGTTTCTACTTTCGCTTTCAATCAAAGCTAATGGATTGTAAATAAGTTGGCATAAACACATAAAATCACTTGACATATCGTATCTACACACCGTAGTAATGTGTAAATATCCATGCTAAGGTATAATAATAATCATAAGTAATAGTCATGGTTGGAACAAGGTACAGGCCCACCTAAATATCATAACAATACTTTTTTATTAGTGTAATTCATAAATTGCTTAGTGCTTGAAAATTGGCTTAAAGTTAAGTGTCCTCAGGAGGTTCTTATTAATAGCATCCAGTTTGAGAAACTTTGTAGTTGAAGGGTTTAACTTTAATTACTCTATAAGCCTTTCTTATAACCATTTAAAAACCTTTTTTTTTCGGTGAACAACGGAAGATACAGCAACAAAAATTATGTCAATATCTATTATCCTGTGAGGTTTCAAGTTTCAATCTTCAGCCATTTTTTAAAAAACAAACTGGCGGATAAAGTGTTATTTTTAAAAAAAAGAGAAAGTCATCTGTCTCGCACGATCGGAAGTGACACCCTTAGAACGAAGGAAAACACTTAAAGTTCAGTTGCTTACCTATCAGTTGTAAACTTTCATGAAATTCTACTGATATATATGAATTAAGTAACGTATGACTACTTCTGCATAAATTAAAATTTTGCCAATTAACAAACAATTAGGTTGAAACTTATTTAATTCTTTGTTAATATCCGAACTCTGTTGTACATCTCCATCGACATGTGTAACACAATTAAAGTTAATCGTGCGAGACAGGTGACTTAGAAAATATGCAATATTGGTCTACTTCCTGTTTTGACGGAATTTATGTCTTTCGATCTATTTTTAACAATGCACTAGCTTGTACATACTGATTTAGACAAAGTTGCTTCTTTGGTATATTGCATTTTTTCAATACTTTTTGAGATATTGAGATCCTTTACATTAGAGGCCAGCCCAATTTTCTTGATATATTGTTATTGTAATTGTTTTACTACTTTTGTTCTAGAATGTTTTTTTATATTTACATGGAAACAAATATTGCAGAAAAGTCGTCACAAATAATATTGGCACTGATATTTGAAACACCTGGACTAAAGAAAATCTAATATATACTGATTTTTATTTTTTCTTATTTTTAGATAACTTTCGCATTGGGAGTGTTACACTATATTTTTCGATCCAGTAAGCTCACGAAACAACCACAAACAGTTAACTTTATCAGTCTATGTATATTTTATATTACATTCATAAAAGATATATATGAAAAATAAACATAATCAATTTTCTCTAGATTAAATGAAAAGTTGTAAAATTCATTTGATACAGTTTATATTAAAGAAAAGTCAGTATTTCATATCAAAGAAAGAATAAAATGGTAATACTGTGTTACATTTGTGTTGTTTAAATGTTTAGATAACAGACATGTGTCGTAATTTGATAAACACCGTACCTTATTGTTATTTGCTTACGCAAAGGCAAGGGGGCATTAGGTCCTATTCGTCTTTCAAGTCTCTATGTCTGGCACAAAAACTTAAACTTTGTTCATAGCTTTTAAATGGGAAGAGATATGGCCTTTCTATTTCACATTTATCTTAGCTGTGACAAGACCTTTCGATATAAACAATGGATAATGGCTCCCTATTCTTGAACTTAGTCTGGCCTATTTTTTAAAAGGAATATTTTTACATTAAATTGGTCATAATTTTTTTTATCAGGAAAAGATTAGACTTTTTTAATTGAACATGACTGTGTAATACATTTACCTGTGACAAGTCATTTTTCAAATATAATATGATTTAAATGTTTAGATAACAGACATGTGTCGTAATTTGATAGACACCGTACCTTATTGTTATTTGCTTACGCAAAAGCAAGGGGGCATTAGGTCCTATTCGTCTTTCAGTCTCTATGTCTGGCACAAAAACTTAAACTTTGTTCATAGCTTTTAAATGGGAAGAGATATGGCCTTTCTATTTCACATTTATCTTAGCTGTGACAAGACGTTTCGATATAAACAATGGATAATGGCTCCCTATTCTTGAACTTAGTCTGGCCTATTTTTTAAAAGGAATATTTTTACATTAAATTGGTCATAATTTTTTTTTATCAGGAAAAGATGAGACTTTTTTAATTGAACATGACTGTAATACATTTACCTGTGACAAGTCATTTTTCAAATATAATATGATTCTGACAATCTGACCAGGACCTTGAAGTTTGACCTTTCTTTTAAAAAGTATTATTTTTCCTTATGTCGTTTGTTTAAGAAAAGCTAAGGGTTTTCATATTAGGCATATGCACTACCATTGACAAGTATTTCTGAGCATCTTTTAATTTGGATCCTTTGATATTGACCTGTTTGTTTGATTTTTTGGGGATTTCTTTAATGATGATTTTAACTTTTATATTTCAAATTCCCTTATGCAGCAATATACCATCATCACGTGCATACGGAGTGTATATATCTCAGTTGATTCGATATGGAAGAGCATACTCTGCATATAAATAATTTCTAAAACGAGTTATATTATTGACAAGCAAGTTGATGAAACAAGAATATCAACAGTCTTGTTTGAAGTTATCATTTCGTAGGTTCTATGGTCAATACAATGAACTGTCAGCAAATACAATTAATCATTGAGTCAAATGTTGACTGATGTTTTTCACACTAATTGTTAGTCTATTATTTATACACTGAATTGATGACGCATATTTCCGTTATTTCCCGATCACGTCAAGGAGCACACGGACACGGCGGGTATGACCGGTCAGCAGGGGATGCTCACTCCTCCATGGCACCTGCTCCCACCTCTGATGTTTTGGAGGTCCGTGTTTGCTATACTCCTATTTTGTATTGTTTTATTGACTTTTATATTGAATACTGTTCGTTATCTCCATATGCTTTTGGTGTGACTAACTATGATGGTCACAATGACATACACGCCGCCGTAGTGGGTTGAAACATAGATGAATAGAATAATTTTTCATCTTTGGTTTGAATTTAATGCTATCGAATCTTTTTAATAAACTTTAATGTTAAATTCATCTTTTTTATAAATTTTCTTTTCATTTATTATGTTTTAATCAGAGTGTACTTATGCTTTTTTATTTAAAATAATTAAAATATAAAACATTTCAGTTATATGAATGTCTCGAGTTTAGGTTAGGCCACTTTAGAAGCTAATAGTTTCACAAATAAAAAGAAAACTCCTTTTAAAATAGGAAGCAACGCTTCAGATAATTATACATGTACATCAACTGTAGCTATGGATTAAATTCCATATTTCGCTGAGGTTCATTTTGTACTGCTTTCAATTTCAATACCGGGTATGCATGGCATATAAAGATCTATGAAAATTTAGTTGATCATAAAGAACAATTCATCGTTCATGTTCTTGTCACAAACTGCTTGAGCTTGATACTTTACACCAGGATGTCTTACGCGTTTTCACGTGGGGTTCACGCTTATCCTTATTAACCTCTATAGCAGATGATCTTTCAGTTTATGCTTGGAGAAATTACAGCATCAACTCCTAATCTTCCTATTTATTAATATTTCTGTTATTGATTTCATTATATTTAGGTTTTGTTTTCTTTTCAACCTTACTTTTTTTATAGTCTTGATTTCAAGTTTCTTCCCTCGCAGTCCCTTTCTAATGTGAAATCCGCGATTTTTTAACCATTCTATAGTATTTAAACCACAGTTCGCCGCCACACTGGTGAAAGAGAATTTGTTACCTTGAAACAAATGTCAGATATAATGGAAACCTTAACAATTGCATAATTATAAATTGAATAACTACCATAAAGTTACCTTTTATACAAAATCAGACTCTTAGATTTGACTTTTCTCGAAAGCAAATGAAAAATTTTTGAATGAAAAGAAAATGGGTGTATCATCGATGAAACGATTATTGTAAATTAACCAAATAAAGAAATATGATTTTCATTTTTTTTTTACTCACAGGGTACACAGAATATGTCGGATTTACAATACCCATTTCCTGTTTGTTTTGTGAATGATTGTCCAAGAAACAAAACATCATGGATGGCGTCATCAATCTTACTACACTGCCAAAATGACACCAAGGGCAAGAATACATATCATTGCGTGCCCAACAAAGAGAAAACAAAATTGATGCAGTTCTGCTACGATAAAAATATTGGACGTCATCACAATGGTATAACTGCCCTAAGTGAAGAAATATTACTGTAGAAAGCACAGAGAAATTCACTTTTACAAGGATACCATTGGCGTCGGAAGCAAATTGAAAGTTGGGGGCAGTGTAAGAAAAAAAAATTTACCTCCAAAAAAATCTGACAAGCAAAAAAAAAAAAAAAAAAAAAAAAAGGAAATGTTTATTTCCCAAACACGAAAATCCTATTTCGTGGGGGGGGGGGGGGGGGGGGGGCAAGGTTCGAACTCCAGTACCAAAAATTTTCTACCAAACACCAACACTTTTACCAATTTTAACCTATACTAAAACGTGTCTGTGGAAAGTGGGGGGGCTAAACTCACGAAGATATGTTCAATGTCTATACTATGTATATATTTGGAAAAAAATAAGCCCCCCCCTAGCCCTCCCGGTTCCGACGCCTATGGATACTCACTTCCGCCCCAGCCGCATATATATTGTGATGAAATTAATTTTATTTAAAAAGCACAAATTACAACTACATGTAAATTTAAACTTAAACTAATATAACTGCCCTAAGTGAATTGGTAATGATCCTCTAAAACTAATGTCCAAATAACTGTATCTCACTTCCATTCTCAATGACCGTGTAGTGTAGGGAAGCGTTGTGAGAATTCCATCGGCATCGAAAGCAAGTTTTTTAACTTGCCTAGATAGCCGAGTGGTCTAAAGCGCTGTTACTGCACTGCTAGGAGACAGATTCCGTAGATCGAGGTTCAACCACGGGCTGGGGCGGCAGTGAGTATCGTTGTAAAAGTGAATTGCTCTGTGCTTTATATATATATATATATATATATAGAGAGAGAGAGAGAGAGAGAGAGAGAGAGAGAGAGAGAGAGAGAGATATCTATATTGTGTGATTTGATATTGGCTTTATCCAACGAGTTGAAATGGTTTTTATATTCGCGAGGCTTGCTGAGCGAATATACACCATTTCAACGAGTTGGTTAAAGCCAATATTAAATCACATAATTGTAAATGTTTTATTTATCTCATACGACTGTTGTTTGAATAAAATTTTGAGACTTCCCCTGCAAAACTACATGAATATTTGCCTATTCAAATTGATGACGTATAACTTGACGAAGTAGCACTGTTGATGTTGATGTGCTTCGAAAGAAAGTAGATCGTGTTCAAAAGTTAAATTTTTGCTATCTGCGTTTTTGAGAACATTATGAGACAATTGCTGGAGCTTTATATCGACCGAACTTCTTACTGAAGGTTGTAAGGACCATGGAATCGTGAAAATTAACTTTTTGTTCGGTGGCAGTTCAAAACGTGCAAGGCAAGGCCTGGGGCCTACTTGTAGATTCATTGTTGATCCATGATAAGTTACACCTATATTACTAGGTAGGCATACGTAGCATAATATATGAAAGCTTTATTGAAGATGTTAAAGGAATCTTATAACAACAACAAAACTGCTAGGCTTTACTTTCTCCTAAAATGATTAAAAATGAAGTGGGGGTAGCATATAGATCTCTCTTCAAGTAGCCAACACAGGATCCTCGATCAAATAACTAAGACACTTCTTTGACATATACCAGTCTTTTTCTGGCTTTTAAAGATATTATCGCTCTTTATCATTCATTTTATTTCGTCAATAATAATCATCACAAATAAAAGTTTCAAATAAAATCTTGAAGCGAGGGATCGTGTCAAAACCGGAAGTGCTATTGATAAAGCATCTACTCGTTGATCAAGCATAAGTTTATCCAACTGCCTGTATCGCCAACACGCATTCATGAGATAAATATACATTATGTGTGTGTTAGAGAGAGAGTTTAAGGGAGAGAGGGTGTGTGTGAGGGTATATGTGTGATTTTGTTTCCTTGAATTCATTTTGGTTTTCGGACTTAAATTGATTGTAATAATTATTTTGTTCCAAATGTGTATCTCATTCTTATTGTACTCTCTCTGAAAGGCAGTTGTCTGCATCTAGATGATGCTGGTTATCTAGACGAAGTGCAGTGTGGAGACTTCATCTCTGGATGCCCAAAAGTCCCATATTTAAGCAATGAGATATATAAATGTAAGTTGTTTTTGTTGAATTCTTTTGTTTAAATGCAAGTAAATGTTTTCGATCTTTCTTATAAAACGGCTACGATAAAATGAAATGTTTAGGATGTAGGAACATGTATGAAGAATGAAATTCCAATATTTTCTCTATGAATTATACACTCAGCCTCAATTTAAAAGGTAAGTCATGTATTATATCAACGGATCTGTTGAAGATATTTATAAAGCTTAAGCGTGTAAATGATTCTACGGAAGCCCGTTGAGGCCGGTTCAAACAAAGAAATATTTTTTATTGCGTTTAAACGCAAAAATAATTGAGTTTAAAAGCAATTATTATTGCGTCTAGTCGCAATAATTATTGCGTTTAATCGCAAAAATATTATTGCGTTTAAACGAGTCTCTGTTACTGAAACATTTCCTGTACTATTTGTACATGCATGCACAATTTGATTTTGACATATCTTTTTAATTCCTCCAACACTTTCAGTCCATTAAGGATTTTTCCTCACTAGAACACAAAATTGTATCGATTTTTGCTATTCGGTGACGGTAAGTAAGGGTTGCATAAGGGTTTGTGGTAGTTTTGTGATCTATTTGGTGTGTAAATCACACATTGATTTATAGGGGTAATTAAATATTTGAAGATTCTGAATAGATGATCCACATGAATTCGTATTTGCAATTGTGAAAACTATGAATGCTTTCCCTGTAACAATTATTTTTTCTTGTGTTTTGCAAGATCAAGAGTGTTTGGTAATTGACAGGCAGAATAAATGTTTCGAAGCAGCTGCGTCATGCCGGAAACTAGCAACAAAGTTAGTTAGATGTACATGTTTTACTTCCCTCTGTCTTTTAGTTGACATTAATTTTACTGTCAGTAATGCCAAATTATTCATATGTTGGGGTTAGGTGACATTTTCGTTATATCCAAGGAATGAGAAGACCAACAATTAACATGCTAATTTTTAAAAGTGTAACTATGCTAAAGTCTAATATTTCTCATTTGATACCAAAATTAAATCCCTTACTGGTTTATTCCCTAAATTGCTATATTTTTACCTCACAAAAATGAAAAATGTTTTCCCTCTTTGCAGTAGCACGACAGTGGGGCGGATAATGCTGACTGCTTCAAGCCCAATCATTGTTATTTTCATCATCTGTTTTATCTGCGTTAGATATATGTATCGACGCAAATGTGTATCATACAAGAATCCTGAAGCGAGATATCTTTTCCGTAAGTAATTATGTTGAGGTTCATGGTTAAGTTAAATTTTAAATTACAAGTCAATCTATATTTGTATTTATTCTCTAACGAACTAAAAAACTGTCAAGAATATATATATATTAACAATGGTAATTTCCATTCCTACTTCTATACATCATAACCTGTTGAGCTTCATATAAAAGGTACCACAGAGCCTGACAAACTTGCATATTTTACTTGAAAAAGACGTTAAAGGTAATTTAACAACCAACTTTATTATATACGTGATGACTTTAACTTTTACTTTGACTTAAACTATACTCAACTTCCCTTACTTAGTCAGCAATATACCTTTATCGTCTGCATACAGAGTATATATATCCTAAATGATTCGACATGCAAGACCATGCTCTACATATTAAAAATTTCTGGAACGAGGTAAATCATTGGCAAGCAAGTTTATGAAACAAGAATAAAAACAGTCTCGTTTAAAGTCATCACTTTGTAAGTTCTATGGTGGAGACAGTGACCTTGGCAATTTATCCAGTTTATACAGTTTATATTACAATTGTTAGGCCATCATTCATACACTGAATTGACGACGGATTTTTTCCGTTATTTCCTGACCATGACAAGGAACACACGGGGGGTGTGACCGATAATCAGGGGATGCTCACTCCTCCATGGCACCGGATCCCACCTCTGATGTTTCGGGGGTCCGTGTTTGCTCTGCTCCTATTTTGTATTGTTTTATGGACTGTGAGATTGAATACTGTCGTATTATCTCCATATCCATCATTGAGTCAAACGTTAACCGACAATTTTCATACTAATTCTTAGTCCATTTTTTATACACTGACTTGACGACGGATTTTTTCGATCATAACAAAGAGCACACGGTGGCTGTGACCGGTCAGCAGGGGGCATAACTCCTCCATGGCACCTGATCCCACCTCTGATGTTTCGGAAGTCAGCTCCTATTTTGAATTTTAATGGACTCTGATATTATTATTGATCGTTATTTCCATATCCATCCCTGCTTATCATAACTAAGAATCTTTCTTCCATTAACAAAACGCTTCGTGTTCAGGAGGCCCGAGTTCGTTTCTCGTTTTCGGCGCCGCGTCATACCTAAGACATAAACAAAGGTAGTGACTGTTTCTTCGCCAAGCGCTATGCACTGGAAATGAAAGTTACGGGTCTTTCGAATATGACCTTGAAAACTTAGGTTTCGTGTCAATGTAGACGTTGGCAAGATAAAGAACCATCCGTGCTCAATAGCCCTGAGTGCCGAATATAGGTCTAAATTTGACGCCCTTCACTGGCATACGTTGACGTCTCCATATGCTTGAAAAATTCTCAAGAGGGACGTTAAACAATATACAATCAATCCATCAACAAATTATACGGTACACATAAATAACAAATAACAACAAATTACATTTTATATCTTAAATAATTACTTACATTATATTATTTACTAGACGATAATGATGGCGAGATTTCCATACACGATGCAGCCTGGAATGGTGACATGGATCTTCTAAAGCTCCTTATTGAGAAAGGCTTGAATATCAAAAGCACGAAAGATGACGGAAAAACTGTTGTGCATGCGTGTTGTGGTAATGGTAAGCTAGAAGTTTGTAAGTACTTAGTGAAGACTTACCCTAGCTTAGTACATGTCACTGACAGTCGTGATCGCAACGTCTTACATGATGCAGCACTGAGTGGCGATATTGATATGTTCATGTTTCTAATAAGGAAAGGTTTAGATGTCAATAACAAAAGTAATGATGGAAAAACTGTGCTTCATGCGTGTTGTTATAATGGTAAAATTAAATTGTGCAAGTATTTGGTCAAAACATATCCCTACTTACTAGATATCACTGACAATAATGGTGAAAATGTTTTGCATGCTGCAGCGATAGGAGGAAACATTGACTTATTTATCTTGCTCGTAGGGAAAGGCATTGATATCAGGTCGAAAACAAATGATGGCAAAAATGTTCTACATTTGTGTTGTAGAAATGGTAAGATGGACATGTGTAGGTATTTGGTCAACACATATCCTTACTTACTCAATGTCATTGACAAAAATGGAGGGAATGTCTTACATGATGCAGCTTGGGGCGGTAACATCAATGTGCTAAAATTTCTTTTAAAGGATCCGAAAGGCTTAAAAGTAGATATTAAAAGCAAAGATGGAAAAAGTATTTTACATCAGTGTTGTTTGAATGGTAAACTGGACATGTGTAAGTATTTGGCAGAAACTTATCATTGGTTAATAAACGATATCGACAAGTATGGCGAAACCGTTTTACATGCTGCAGCCTGGGGAGGTAACATTGAGCTGTTAAAATTTCTCATCCAATATGGTTTTGATATAAATGACAAAAGACATGACGGTAAAACACTGCTACATCTATGTTGTATGAATCGGCAGATGGAAATGTGTAGATACATAGTCAGCAATTATACTGACCTTGTAGAGGTCATTGATGATTATGGTCAAAATGCCTTACATGAAAAAGTCTGGGGCGGTGGTATCGTTGGCTCTCCTAAAGGTTTGGTTAGAAAAAGGGCTAAATATTCCTCACACAATGAATGATGGAGTACTTTTCAAAATATTTATTGTCTGAATGGTATTATGATTATTTTTTTAGAATGTTACCAAAATTTATTTGTTAAAGAGAATGATGCGGAGAAATTCAGAAATAATTTTTGGATTCAGCTTTTGGGTAAAGCCATGATAAGTTACATTTATTAGAGAATTAATTTGGTATTGACAAGGCATTCGCAGACTTTGGCAGAACAAAAAGAAGAAAAATGCATAGTTGTTGACAATGAAGGGATAAAAAGCGTAAAATATATATGTTTCGTACTTTAATTAATTAAATAAATTGGGAACATTTCACATTGCAGTACAGTTAACGTGCGCAAAGGAAATATCGACTGAATTTTGTATTTAAAAATGTATTCGTAATCGGGATGGCGATTATTTTTAGTACATTATTTATATCGGATAATTGTACTTATGATTAATAGCTACATATCGAGGACTATTATATTTTATATTTAGACTAGTCACGTGATGCGGCCGTCACGCGATTTTAGCTAATTGACTTGAAGTATTGATGTTACATTTAATATCACAAGTGCAAGGGCATACAAGTTAAATACAAGTTAAATTTCCAAGTTTAGTATATAAATAGATTCTGCAATTTCATTGTTAAAATTATACTTGTTTGACCGAATGCTATATTTTTTGCTGGTCAGCAGCAAGAAATATTGATGTAATTAAATTGTTTTTAAGATTTCATCAGGATCGCAGAACTTTTCAGATACCTTAATAGTTCTATTGTTGAAATTTAAAAGCTTACTTTGATCCATAAAGTGTATGCCCTTGCACTAGATCGATTTATTAAGACCCCCCACATTACCCTCCGATGTACTTGCATACAAATATACGGCAGTGTCAATTAAATACGTAATGTATAGAAAATAGATTAGTTAAATAGTGAAGAAGACATTAAATTCAAGTTATTGGCCCATAGAATATCTGTAAATAATATTTTATTTAATTAGAGAATACATATTTTGTTGAGAAAAATTACTTTATCTGTCTCTCACTGCATACAAACTACGTCACTTTGTAAGAAATGACGTCATATTGACAAGTGTATTGCGATCAGTGACTTGTTTATAAATTGTTATGTGCATGGGATTTAACTAACGACAAAGCAACACGCTGTAGTAAGTTTTTATGTAGTTTGATGATTTCTTACTGATTAAATTAGCAGATAAACTCATTTTGTGGTATTTTAAAGAAATGTGGTATGACGTATATTATGTATGACAAGTCAAGTCAAGTTTTTCCGTACAAATTAGGCTCCGCCTCCTTTTTGTAACCTTAACTGTGCTGCAATTTTGAAATAGTATTAGTTATGAATTGTTCAATTTAATATTGATAGAAGGGAAACCTGTTAAAGTACAAATATGAGTAATTTTCTTAACCTGACCTTTATCTGCGCACTGTCAGTGCAATATAAAATAAGCAGGGGTTGAATTATATCTGAAATGTTTACTGTGACGCTTTGTGCTGATCATTTTTTCATAAATGTATATTTTCTCATGTATCTTTGCCACAAATTAAATGTTTTTGCTATATTGAGAATTCAATCTCCATGAAGTATATATTAGATGCAATAATCAACTGATTTCATAATAAACCTTACTTCCATGTAGAGTTTGATACACCATGCGATTTCAATCAATATTTAATTCAAAATGCCAAAATTAATTTAATTTAAAATGTATCAATTTTGTGGCATTACTATTTTTTGTTTATTTAGTTATACTATACATTTACACTATTCTTTTGCAATTTTAAACATTTTTAAGCACTAGCTAATTAACAAATTATATTTGGACAGGGGTTACGATAAACAACTGTGACTTTATAAAATAGTGTTAATATGTGAAAAATTGTATGATTGTAACAGTGAAAGTCATGCTAAGGAAATGTGAAATTACATTACAACAAGAGGCCCATGGGCCTTATAGGTCACCTGAGCATCATGCAACAACTTTCCAACGATTGAATTTGGTTTATTTTTTAAACTTGACATAATGGTATTCACGATTTTGAAAGAGGCACCATTGGTTATTTTTATAATAAATATACACTTAGCATGGTTACTTTGGTTACTTAATTTCCATATATAGAGTAGGGAAACCAAATAAAATGCATTTTGACCAATCAGTAATATTCAGCAGTAATCAGTTGTGCCCTTACCACACATGAACGTCTGACCCTTCACAATTTTACTCATTAAAATGTTTCATCAATATCAAGGAGCAGATATTAATCAATTAATTCATTTACAGTGTATAAGTAGAGCCCCCCCCCCCCCTCTATGGTATCCTTTAACCCAGGAGTCTTGAAATTCACAATTCATGAAGAATAATAATATTCACAATTTTGAAAGAGGCATTCTTCCTCATCATAACTATGTATTTAGTTAATTTGTTTAATACCGAGGAGCAGAGAAGAGGATTTTTAAGGAAATAATGCATTCTCACTATATAATCAATAGAGCCCCGTCCTAACACCAGAACCCCTGAGCCTGGGGTCAGAAAATTCACAATTTTGGAAGAGGCATTCTTCCTCATCAAAACTATATACTTAGTTTGTTTAAAACCCAGGAGCAGAGAAGAAGATTTTCAAAGAATTTGTTTATAATCATTATAGAGCCCCGCCCTAACACCTTTCACCTAACCCTGGGGCATTAAAATTCAGAATCATACTTTCTCAACTTATGTACTTATTAGTTTATTTAAAATCCAGGAGCAGAGAAGAGGATTTTTAAAGAAATAATACATTTTCACTATATAATCAATAGAGCCCCGCCCTAACACTAAAACCCCTTATCCCAGGGCCATGAATTTCACAATTTTGGTAGAAGACTTAATTGCCATTATGTTTATGCTAACAGTTTGATTGCTTGAGGTCCAGGAGTAAAGAAAAAGCTTTTTAAAGATTGCATTAATTTTAGTGGTTTTTGCCCCACCTCCAGGCCCCAGGGGGGCAGGGACCATGAAATTCACAATTGTTGTTCCCCTTTACCCATAGATGCATTATGCTAAATTTGGTGGAAATCGGTGGAGAGGTTGCAGAAAAGAAGCTAAAAATGTTCAAATGTTAACAAACAACGCACGATGCACGACGCACGACGACAAACGAAAACAGATAGCAATAAATCACCTGACTTTAAAAAGGTGACCTAAAAATTAATTCTATGTCTGTTGATTACAAACTTAAGAGAATAAAGAATTGTAAAACGAGAAAATTTGGAGCATACGTATTTTAGCGCAAAAGCAAGCGGAAATGCATTGGCGCAAATAAATTTTAGCGCTTCCACTTGTCATCAAAATAAATAGATGTGATATTTTATTTTTTAATCCACGCCCCGTATTTGACTTTTTGGGTGTTGAACTATGTTCAATCTCCCATGGGCATCACGCATTTAACATGCGCAGTAATTTGTGTTGATTATATAGAGCCGAAAGCGAGGCTACTGTGTCGACCGACTTACTCCGATGATATTCAACAGAAAACATGCATATAAACATCCGCAACAAATAGTTCGTGTCATTTCTCCTGAATTGATCTAATTTTCATAATGTAAGTAAATGTAATGATAAAGTACTGTATAGGGGAATAATTTCACGGGTTGTAATTTTCACGTTTTTCTCTCATCTGACACGATCGCGGTTTCTAGAATTCGCGGACATCGGTATGTAATAAAAGTTACTTCCCTTGTCTCCAATTAATCCATATCATAGCTACATGTGAACGATGTTTATCAGCGTTATGTCTTTATTTCACGAACAACAGCTAGGAAGGTTATAAAATTGTTAGATTTTATAAATGATTAATTAACACAAATGCAGTAATTTATATAGTCCCTTATTTCAAATGACTTTCCTAAACGCAATTACGATGAGTGCATGTGCACCTAATATCTTCAATACAACACGGCGAAAACAACCACTGGACGGAAATAAAGTGTGTTTGTGTAGTTCTGTGAAATAATAAACTTCCAAATCGTCACAAACTTCGATATTTATTTGAATGATTTTTTAAAAACAAAATGTCGATAAAAACTACATGAACTAATCTGCATGAGAATGCAGGTAACAAATACACTTGGTAACATTAGTTACGCACGAGTAATCAAAACCCATGGCCCACGTGTCTTGATTGATGAAACATGTAGCGTTGGCTATTAAACCAGCTTTTGAACAAACACAAATTATTATCTGCCGATTTGAATTAAAGTAAAGAGTGATAATTAAAATTAATTTAATGACAGTGCAAATCGTAATTACTGAAATGACCATGTACTGCACGTACGCCTATGTAAATCCATTGTAGTTCATTCTCAAATTTCCAAATAAAACATGGAGATTGTTGAATATTTATTCACTATCTCTTGAATTCATGGATTTGTTAACACCGTGAATATAGCGAATATTAACACTGCGAGTTATTTTCCCCCTATACAGTAATCTTATTATGAATATTAGATTTCGTTCAAAGTTAAACTAAATTATAAAAAAAACCTCAAAAGTTTTTTGAAATGGAACTCATTTTTAGTGTAGCGTCAAACACTGAAACAGATACGAACGACAACTCTACATACTGACGGCAAGCGGTAAATCTAGTCTTCCCGACGGTCTAGAATTTTTAGCAATTTCTTTTTTACAGGTGCACAGAATTTATTCAAACTTTTCTTGAACATTTTCTTTGTTTAAATGAATTCTTTAATGCAAAAAAACTTTAGGAAACATGCGTATTTATTACTAAATCAGAAGTATCACCTGCCAAAAGCGGTAAATTGAGTACTCTGTTATAAATGTTAAAACCAAAAACGGACACCGATGTTTTCGTAAAATCGCGATTAAAAACAACAAAATGAAGTATATTTTTTTAATAAAAGGAAAACCTCATTTACATACCAGATAATTTGTACACACACTAACTCTCACACTGCTCTAATGTTTGGTCATAAAATATTTGTTTTTAACTTGGTATTGCTTTTTTCTTCACAATATTAAAAAAAGATTAAGTTCTGACGTACTCCATGTATAATGTTTGTGTAATTGAACTACATTTATATTCACAGTTTTATATAACAAACCTGTTAGCTCTTAAAAGGATGCTGTGTTAAAATCCACATTTTATTTACATTGATATTATTCCTGCGAAACTGAAATTTTCATAACACATGGGTAAAAGTGATAAGAAAAAATATAATACAAATTTGAAGACTGTGAGCAGTGAATTATATAAATGACCAACCGCCTCTTATATGAATATAATAGCAGTGGCCATGTTTTGCAATTGGAAACCCAAAATATGTGTAGGGGGAAAATT